TGAGATACCATCTCACGCCAGTCAGAATGGCATATTATTAAAAAGTTAAGAAACAACAGATGGCTGGCGAGGCTGTGGAGAAATGGGAATGCTTTTACACTGTTGGTGAGAGTGTAAATTAATTCAACCATTGTGGAAGGCAGTGTGGCGATTCCTCAAAGATCTAGAACTAGAGAAACCATTTGACCCAGCAATTCCATTACTGGGTATATACCCAAAGGAATATCAATCATTCTGTTATAAAGACATGCATGCGTATGTTCATTGTAGCACTAGTCACAATAGCAAAGACTTGGAATCAACCCGAATGCCCATCAGTGATAGACTGGATAAAGAAAATGTGGTACAAATACATCATGGAATACTATGTAACCATTAAAAGGAACAAGATAATGTCCTTTGCAGGGACATGGATGAAGCTGGAAGGCATTATCCTCAGCAAACTAACACTGGAGCAGAAAACCAAACACCATATGTTCTCACTTATAAACAGGAGCTGAACAATGAGAACACACAGACACAGGGAGGGTAATCACACACTGGGGCCTGTAGGGCAGAGGGGAGGGAGAGTATCAGGATAAATAACTAATACACATGGGGCTTAATAACTAGATGATGGGTTGATAGTTGCAGCAAACCACCATGGCACACGTCTATCTATGTAACAAACCTGGACGTCCTGCACTTGTATCCTGGAACTTAAAATTAAATTAAAAAACAATAATTTAATCGTATTCCAGAAATGGAAATTGGAAATTGAAAATTACAAAAAGGCTGGGAGTGGTGACTCACTCCTGTAATCCCAGTACTTTGGGAGGCTGAGGTGGGAGGATTGTTTGAGCCCAGGAGTTTGAGAGACCAGCCTGGGCAACACAGTGAGACCCTGTCTCTAAAAGAAAAATTTTTTTAATTAGCTAGGAGTGCGGGCAAATGTTTTTAGTCCCAGCTACTCAGGAGGCTGGGGCAGGAGGATCCCTTGAGCCCAGAAGTTTGAGGTTGCAGTAAGTTGTGATTACAGAACTGCGCTCCAGCCTGGCCAACAAGGCAAGACCCTGTGTCTTTTACTGAAAAACAAAACTCAGTAATTACTTAAAGGTTTAAATCTTAAAAATATGTGCAAAATTCCTATGCTGAAAGTTATAAAACATTGATGGAAAGAAATGAAAGAAGACCTAAATAGGTATAGATATACTGTGTTCATGGATTAATGTATTTTCTCTGAACCCATCTATAAACACAACTCCATTCCAGCAGGGTTTTTTTTTTTTTTTTGGTAGACTCAACAAGCAATTACAAAATGCATATTAGAAAAGCCAAGCAACTAGAACAATTCTGAAAAAGAATATAGTTGGAAGACTCATATCACCTGACTTCAAGAGTTACCTATAAAGCTACAGTAGTAAGACAGTGTGGTATTGTACATAAATCAATATAGCAGGAATATAATCACACATAGAGTCAATTGATTTCTGACAAGACACAAAGGAGGAAGGATAGTCATTTCAATAAATGATGCTGGAACAGTTAATCAAGTGCAAAGAAATGAAACTTCATTCCTCGCACCATATACAAAAATTAACTCAGATCATATCTCTAAAGGTAAAATATAAAATTATAAAACTTCTAAAAGGATACATGGGGGGCCAGGTGCAGCAGTTCATGCCTGTAATCCCAGCAGTGGGAGGCCGAGGAAGGCAGATCACTTGAGGTCAGGAGTTGGATACCAGCCTGGCCAAGATGGTGAAACCCCCGTCTCTACCAAAAATATAAAAAATTAGCTGGCTGCGGTGGCACGCACCTGTAATCCCAGTTACTCAGGAGGCTGAAGCAGGAGAATCGCTTGAACTTGGGAGGCAGAGGTTGCAGTGAGCCAAGATCGCTCCACTGCACTCCAGCCTGGGCAACAGAGCGAGACTCCATCTCAAAAAAAAAAAAAAAAATTAAAAAATAATAATAAAAGGATACATGGGGGAAAAAAATCCTTGTGACTGAGTCAGGCAAAGATTTCTCGGATATTTAAGGCTAAATAATATTCCATTGTATATGTACAAACCACCTTCCGTTTACCCAATCATCTGTTGATGGATACATGGGGGGAAAAATATTTCATCCTTGTAAAAGCTAACTTCATCTGCAGGACAGGTGGTACCTGCACCGCACTTGGGGAGACACTCCTATTCAGGACAGAATTTGCTCAGGGGGTGAGCTGGGTGAGGGCCATAAGTGGGGGCAGATCAGAGTTGAGCAGGTAAATAAAAGGGTTCCTGGGCCCAACTGAGAGGAAAGGGGTTCCCTAACAGAAAGCAGGAAGTCCAGCTCCTGCCGTCAAAATTCTGCCTGGATGGTTGTGCACGTGTCAGGATGTGCAGCCCTGGAAGAGCCCTGTCTCTTCTAAAGGAGAAATCGGACTAGCATCCTTAGGACTGATAGACAACATCTGACCGGGGGAGAGGAGCTTGCCAAGTGGATCTGAACCCCTTAAAGTCTCGGGGCAAATTCTCTGTAAGAGTCAGTTTCCTCAAACGTTTGTGAATCTTTGTTCAGAGAGATTACACAAGACATCAAGTAAGAGAAGGAGAGTGCTGGTTTTAAAAATCGCACCGGCCGGGCGCGGTAGCTCACGCCTGTAATCCCAGCACTTTCGGAGGCCAAAGTGGATGGATCATGAGGTCAGGAGATCGAGACCATGCTGGCTAACAAGGTGAAACCCCGTCTCTACTAAAAATACAAAAAATAAATAGCCAGGCGTGGTGGGCGCCTGTAGTCTCAGCTACTTGGGAGGCTGAGGCAGGAGAATGGTGTGAATCCGGGAGGTGGAGCTTGCAGTGAGCCCAGATCATGCCACTGCACTCCAGCTTGGGCGACTAAACAAGACTCCACCTCAAAAAAAAAAAAAAAACCAAAAAACCAAAAAACCGCACCACTGGGCCAGGGGGTAATCCCAGGGCTTTGGGAGGCTGAGGTGGGATGATTGCTTGAGGCCAGGCGTTCCAGACCAGCCTAGGCAACAAACCTTGTCTCTATAAAAAATAAAATAGGCCAGGCGCGGTGGCTCATGCCTGTAATCCCAGCACTTTGGGAGGCTGAGACAGGTGGATCACCTGAGGTCAGGAGTTCGAGAACAGCCTGGCCAACGTGGTGAAACCCTGTCTCTACTAAAAATACAAAAATTAGCCAGCTGCGGTGGCGGGCGCCTGTAATCCCAGCTACTTGGGAGGCTGAGGTAGGGAACCCGGGAAGCGGAGACTGCAGTGAGCTGAGGTCACACCACTGCACTCCAGCCTGGGCAACAAGAGCGAAACTGTCTCAAAAAATAAATAATATAATATAATATAATATAATAATCTCACAATTTGCTACGTACCGCTCCTGGGCCCACTGAAGTGTGATTTTCAAAGTGATTGAGATTTCCTTTCTCCAATAACCCATACCTACTCCTCTGCTCTGGCCTGTCAGCTCCTTCCTCCAGCAACGCCTTCCCCCTTTACCAGTGAGCCCTCACTGGACTCCAAGGCGGAAAAGCAAGGGTCCAGGCGGGCGTCCCTTCCCCGGGGACTAGTACATCGCCCAGAGCCCGCGCGGAGAGTGGAGAGGGCGACAGAGACCCGGGGCACGAGGGAAGGCGGGACCCATGGCGTGGGGCTGCCCGGGCCAACCGACCCTATCCAAGCGCCGAGCCTGAAGGGCCCGTGGAGTACGGTGAGCGGGTCCCTGGGGACGCCAGTGTCGCGTGGCCCCTGTGACTAAGCATTCGAAGGGGCAGCCAATCCCACGCTCCTTCAAGTGCATCCCGGGCCACGCCATCTTCTACCCCAGCTCCCAGCCCGGGGTGCCCCCTAGTGGGGGCGCGGGGAGGGCTCGGGTGGGGGAAGGCGGGGTGTGATGTGGGGTGGGGGGGGGGGGGTAGGGTGGGCTGCGGCTGGGGTGCAGGTGGGAGTGGACATAGGGGTGGTGGTGGGGTGTGTGGGGGGGATGAAATGTCGGGGTGGAGGTTTAAGTGGGGGGGGTGGGAATGAGGACGGGGTGGGGACAGGGGTGAGGGTGTGACTGTGGGGCGGGCAGGGATAAGGAAACGGGTGGGAGCTGGGGCTAGGGTAGGAGTTGGGGGTGTGTGGGGGTGGGAGTGGGATGGGGTGGGAAGGCAGTGGGGGCACGGCATGGCCAGATGGAATATAGGGGGTTGGGGTGTGTGGGAGTGAGATGAAGTGTGTGGGAGTGGGATGAGTGGGGGCATAAGTGTGAGTGTGGGGGTGGAGCTGGGTGGGAGTGGGTGTGGGAGGATATGTGGGCGGGGCGGGGAGTGGGCATGGGGGATGTGTGGGCGGGGCGGGGAGTGGGCATGGGAGGATGTGTGGGCTGGGGGAGTGGGCGTGGGGGGATGTGGAGGATGTGTAGGGCTGGGGTGGGAAGGGGACATGTGTAGCGCTGGGATGGGGGGAGTGGGTGTGGGGGGCTGTGTGGGACTCGGGTTGGGGGCTGGGGTGGGGGCTGTGCGGGGTTGGGGTGGGTGTGGGGGGCTGTGTGGCGATGGGAGGCTGTGCCGGGGTCGGGGGTGCGAGGCTCTGCAGGGTGTGGGAGACTGTGTGGAGTTGGCTTCGCAGCGCTCACCTTCAGCACCAGGAGCTGGAGCATCCTCCTGGCGCCGGAGGGCAGATGGGCCCCCTCGCCCTGGAAGTCCCCTGCCGTCACGGGCGAGGCTGGCCGCGTCCGCCCCCGCCAGGCCCCCGCCGCGAGTGCTTTCCTTCCCTCCACGTTTAGCGCCTCGGCCCCCCGTGGCAGGTGCCCCACACTCCTCGTCCCCAGGAGCCCTCGCGGACCCCGGGGTCGGCCCGAGGCGACACGCTCCGTCCTGGCAGTGACACAGCCCCTCGCTCGGGGCTCCCTGCCCGCCTGGCCTCGGGCCTCCAGCACCGACCGGATGCCCGCGCACGCCGAGCAGGCCTTAAGGCGTCGTAGACCACGTGGTCCACCCAACCGCCCAACAACGCCCTGCACAGCGCCACGCGGTGGCCGGGAGGACTGATGGGCCGAGGCCCCGGGAGGCCCGGCTTGGGGTAGCGTGATTCGCTCATTTGCCGCTGGCAGGAACCCCCAGGCCCCAAGGACACTCGCCTGTTCCTGGGAGGGATAGAGGGGCCGCGTGCGGCTGAGTCCGTTGGAAACCACCTTTGCAAAATTGTAACTGAGGAAACTGTGATGGTGAAAGAAATCAGACCTAACCAACTCCATCTTGCTTCTAATTTAAGCTGTCCTTGTTTATGCCTGGGCGGAAGCCCGACTAACTTTGGGAAGGAATTCAGTCCATGGTTTGACTCTGAAACAAAATTGATAAAAGCCTGTGAACCCTGAAAATGTGAGACAGGTGTCAGTTCATTCAGAGAGTTTATTTTGCCGGCAGGGCGAGGTGGCTCAGGCCTGTAATCCCAGCACTTTGGGAGGCCGAGGCGTGCGGATCACCTGATAAGGTTAGAAGCTGGAGACTAGCATCGTCAACATGGTGAAACCCCGCCTCTACTAAAAATAGAAAAATTAGCCAGGCATGGTGGCCCATGCCTGGAATCCCAGTTACTTGGGAGGCCGAGGCAGGAGAATCGCTTGAACCTGGGAGGCGGAGGTTTCAGTGAGCTGAGATCGGGCCACGGCACCCCAGCCTGGGGGACAGAGCGAGGCTCTGTCCCAAAAAATAAAAATAAAAAAATTCACCAAGGTTGAGGACATGCGCCCCTGACACAGGAAGTCCTAATGACATTTGCCAGAGGTGATCGGGGCACAGCTTGTGTTAAAGTTGGAGGGTGTCCAGGTTCTTGGTGTCTTGAAGAAAGAATTTGACAAAACGCACACACAAAGCAAGGAAGGAGTGAAGGGTTTTATTGAAAAAGTACACTCCACAGCACGGGAGCGGACCTGAGCATAGGGGCTCAAAGTCCCCGTTACAGAATTTTCGTGAATTTAAATACTCTCTGCTTGGAGTATGCCCGATGTAAATGAAGACGGTGAAGTAAAGTTATGAAGTCATTTGCTGGGTGTATGCCCTATGGAGACGATATTTCCCGTTATAGCTGAAGTGTGAATCGGCCTTATGTTCCCTACCTCCAGACTCTATTTTCCTGCCTCACTTGGTTTTATACATTTTAGGGAAGCATGAGACAACAATCCTTGGATCAGCTCAGTGGATCAGCTGACACCACCCACACCGATAATCTGCTTCAACCTGTTCTGCCGTCCCAACCAGGAACAGACAACAGCAAGAAAAACTCGGACAACCTCTGATTCCATCTTCAACCTGGCCAATCAGCACTCCCCACTTCCCAAGCTCCTGCCCGCCCAATTGTCTTTAAAAACTCTGTTCCTTGAATGCTCAGAGAGATTGATTTGAGTAATAATAAAACTCCAGTCTCCCGCACAGCCGGCTCTGCATGAATTACTTTCTCCATTGCAATTCCCTGTCTTGATAAATTGGCTCTGTCTAGGCAGTGGGCAAGGTGAACCCATTAGGTGGTTACAAGTTCATCATTTTATTTTCAAAGAGACAGGGTATGGCTCTGTTGCACACACTGAAGTGCAGTGGCACAATCATGGCTTACTGCAGCCTTGAATTCCTGGGCTCAGTTGATCCTCCAGCTTCAGCCTCTCAAGTAGCTGAGACTATAGGCACGCACCACCACGCCTGGAAAATTTTTAAATTTTTTTGTAGAGATGAGGTCTCACCGTGTTGCCCAGGCTGGTCTCGAACTCCTGGGCTCACGCCATCCTCCCGCCTCAGCCCCCTGAGCAGCTAGGATTACAGGCATGAACCACCATGCCGGGCCCTCAGTTGGTCCTTGTTGCCTGCCAGGGGGCCCCTGTCTTCCTGCTTTCTCTAGTCCAGCCCACACCTGTTAAATGCTGTGAGCTGGAAGCCCTGGTGGCAAGGAAGAGTCCTGGTCAGCCACGAATCCCTGGGTCTTCGTGGCCTCCTGGCAACATTTCCACTTGATCTGCACCTTCTGGAAAGGTTCCTGGTCCTGGGTTTCTTCCCAGCTGCCCTTCAACTGGCAGGGCTCTCCGAGTTGAAATGAGTTAATTTGCTAGTAAGGGAACCAGCAAGATGTCAAAAGACTGCAACAGTTGGAGAGAGCATGGAAATTGTGGAGTAACATATTTGGGGAACAGAATGCTCACGTAAGCATGCAGTTCTATAAGAAAACTGGATTGCACGAGGTCCCACAGATAACGTGCACTTAAACTCTCAGGCAGGATGGTTGGAGAGGAAAGGTGTGTAGCTGCCAGTCGGGAGAAAAACACAGCTGCAAAGTGCATGATGTTCACCTGTTCCTGAAATTAGGTTGACAAGGCCTCACCTGGTATGGCCAACTCACCTGAAAGCTCAAGACCTCGCCAAAAAGAGATGGAAAACGACAGGACCTGATTTAAACAGGAGGTCCTGGCTGGGCGAGGTGGCTCAGGCCTGTAATCCCAGCACTTCGGGAGGCCGAGGTGGGTGGACCACTTGAGGTCAGGAGTTCGAGACCAGCCTGGCTACTATGGTGAAGCCCTGTCTCTACTAAAAATATAAAAATGAGCCAGGCATGGTGACCGGCACCTGTAATTCCAGCTACACAGGAGGCTGAGGCAGGAGAATCGCTTGAAACAAGGAGGCAGAGGTCGCAGTGAGCTGAGATCATGCCACTGCACTCCAGCCTCAGCAACACAGTGAGACTCCATCTCAAAAAATATATATAATAAAATAAAATAAACAGGGGGTCTTGTAGCCAGGTGCAGTGACATGTGCCTGTAGTCTCAGCTACTTGGGAGGGTGAGATGGGAGGATCCCTTGCCAGGAGTTGGAGCCCAGCCTTGGCAACAAAGCAAGACCCCATCTTTTTTTTTTTTTTTTTTTGAGACGGAGTCTCGCTCTGTCGCCCAGGCTGGAGTGCAGTGGCCGGATCTCAGCTCACTGCAAGCTCCGCCTCCCGGGTTTACGCCATTCTCCTGCCTCAGCCTCCCGAGTAGCTGGGACTACAGGCGCCCGCCACCTCGCCCAGCTAGTTTTTTGTATTGTTTAGTAGAGACGGGGTTTCACCGTGTTATCCAGGATGGTCTCGATCTTCTGACCTCGTGATCCGCCCGTCTCGGCCTCCCAAAGTGCTGGGATTACAGGCGTGAGCCACCGCGCCCAGCCGCAAGACCCCATCTTAAACAGAAAGTCCCAAAACAGTTCCCAATCCACAAAGATGGATAATATAGACTTCTCCCAGTTCTTGGTTTGGAGAGACCCTTTTTTCTTTGACAAGATCCTGTGCTACAGTACGGTATTTCCCAATCTTTTTACAACATGGCTCACAGAAAATGGAAATATTTGTTTATTACACTCCCACAGTCAAAACACTCACTGCCCTCGGGCTCCAGTCACCCAGTCTCCCCAAGGTTGAAAGGGGTCCGCATTTATACTGTAACCTGCCCTCCTCCAACCCTGGCGCTAGCAGAAAACACTTTTTTAAAGATGCGCAAGGCTTCCTTTTTCTTCGCCCTGTCTCATGGTGCTGATTTTTTTTTTTTTTTTTTTTTTTTGAGACAGGGTCTTGCTCTGTTGCCCAGGCTGGAGTGGAGTGGCACAATCTTATCACTACTCACTGCAGCCTCTATCTCCTGGGTTCAAGTGATTTTTCCACCTCAGTCTCCTGAGGACATGAAACTCTAGGGGTGCACCACTATACCCAGCTGTTTTTTTTTGGGGGTTTTTTTTGGTTTTTTTTTTGAGACAGTCTCGCTCTGTCGCTCAGGTTGGAGTGCAGTGGTGCGATCTCGGCTCACTGCAATCTCCACCTCCTGGGTTCAAGCGATTCTTCGCCTCAGCCTCCCAAGTAGCTGGGACTACAGCCATGTGCCACCACACCCAGCTAATTTTTGTATTTTTAGTAGAGACTGGGTTTACTATATTGACCAAGCTGGTCTCAAACCCCTGACCTTGTGATCCGCCCACCTCAGCCTCCCAAAGTGCTGAGATTACAGGTGTAAGCCACCATGCCCAGCCCACCCTGCTAATTTTGAATGTTTTTTATAGAGACGTGGTCTCCCTATGTTGCCTAGGCAGGTCTTGAACACCTGGGCTCAAATGATTCTTCCACCTTGGCCTCCCAAAGTGTTGGGATGACAGGTGTGAGCCGCCATGCCCTGCTGAATTTTGTTTTTAACTTTAAAAATATTTCTGGCCCAGCACAGTGGCTCACATCTGTAATCCCAGCACTTTGGGAGGCTGAGGCAGGCAGATCACTTGAGGTCAGGAGTTCGAAACCAGCCTGGTCAAATGGCGAAACCCTGTCTCTACTAAAAGTACAAAAATTAGCCAGGTGTGGTGGTTCACGCCTGTAATCCCAGCTACCTGGGAGGCTGAGGCAGGAGAATCACTTGAACCCAGGAGGCAGAGGTTGCAGTGAGCCAAGATCGTACCACTACACTCTAGCCTGGGCAACGAAGTGAGAATGTGTCTCAAAAAAAAAAAAAAAAAAAGGAAAAGAAAAGAAAAACTGTGTGTCATAAATGCCATCAACATCAGCAATCTGAGTTCTAAAACAGTATTAATTTTTCAGCTCATATTATTTGGGGTTACGGGGTATGGGCAAGGTACTGCTATAGGTAGGAGGTCATGTGACAAGTCTCCCAAAAGGAATTCTTGGAAGGAGACAAGGTTCATTCAGATTAAAAACAACAACATACAGGCCAGGCGCAGTGGCTCACACCTGTAATCCCAGCACTCTGGGAGGCTGAGGTAGGTGGACCACTTGAGGTCAGAAGTTCAAGACCAGCCTGGCCAACACGGTGAAGCCCCGTCTCTGCTAAAAATACAACCATTAGCCAGGCGCAATGGCACGTGCCTGTAATCCCAGCTACTCAGAAGGCTGAGGCAGGAGAATCGCTTGAACCCAAGAGGCAGAGGTTGCAGTGAGCCGAAAGCACGCCACTGCACTCCAGCCTGGACAACAATGTGAGACTCCATCTCAAAAAACAAAAAACAAAAAACAAAACAAAACAAAGCATACATGAGGGAAACGTGGTGTGAAAACAATCTTTTCTATGAAGAAAAACTAGTCATATTACTTTATGATGACATCTTCTAATATCACCCACTGAGCCATGGCAACTCCAGTGAAGAGGGAGTTGGCCGTGGCACTAACCAGCTGCGTTTCTGTTTTCTCACTGGCAAAATCATGGTGTTCACTGAGGTCCCTTCTAGCAGCAACATTCTAGTAAACTTTGAGAGTCAAAAGACAAAGCAAGGCTGGGCATGGTGGCTCATGCCTACGATCCTGGGCACCTTGGGAGGCTGAGGCAGGCGGATCACCTGAGGTCAGGAGTTCAAGACCAACCTGGCCAACATAGTGAAACTCCATCTCTACTAAAAATACAAAAATTATCTGGGTGTGGTTGCAGGTGCCTATAGTCACAGCTACTTGGGAGGCTGAGGCACGAGAATTGCTTGAACTCAGGAGATGGAGGTTGCAGTGAACTGAGATTGCACCACTGCACTCCAGCCTGGGCAGCAGAGTGAGACTCTATCTCAAAAAACAAATCAAAAGACAACAATAATTTTTGTAGACTTTGTTTTTGTCTTTTTGAGACAGAGTTTTCCTCTTGTCACCCAGACTGGAGTGCAATCTGGGCTCACTGCAACCTCCGCCTCCTGGGTTCAAGTGATTCTCCTGCCTCAGCCTCCCAAGTAGCTGGAATTACAGGCGTGTGCCACCATGCCTGCCTAGTTTTTTGTATTGTTAGGAGATGGGGTTTCACCATGTTGACCAGGCTGGTCTTGAACTCCTGACCTCAGGTGATCCGCCCACCTCAGCCTCCCAAAATGCTGGGATTATAGGCATGAGCCACTGCATGCAGCCAACTTTGTTTTTTTTTTTTTTCAATTGAACATAATTTCCCATTTTTGTAGATCCAAAAGGCAGACAAAATAATAGTATTTGTGGTTCTCAAAATTTACATATTGGAACCACTTATTGAAAAAAAAAAGATTTTACTTTCGATTGGGTATCTCACCCTTGGTCAGGTAATTCTTTGTTGCGGGTGGTGAGACTGCGCATTGCAGGTTATTCAATTGCATTCCTGGCCTCTCCCCACTAGATGGTAGTAGCATACTCCCCCACCCCACCCACTCTGCCCACAGTTTCAACAACCAAAAGTGTTTCCAGACAGAGCCAAATGTTCCCTAGGGCAAAAGGGCCCAGGTTGAGGACCGCAGAGCTAGATATGGTTCTCTCATCTGGATTAAATCATACATATAAACTTTATTCATCATTGTCTTTATGTTATAGTAGGAAAACTAAGGCATTTCATAAAATATGAAATCAGTTGTACAATGCATGATACAGTCAAAGATCTGGCCATGGAATTGGTGTCTTAACTATCATTTCTCACCTTTAATCAATAAACATTCTTCCTCTTTAAAGATGATGAAAAATTACTCATATTAAATACAGTAAAAATAAACATCATTAATCAAATACTACATTTCTAACCTCTTTACATTCATGAACACTGTGGAAACAAACAATGATGGTTTTTGTTATGGCTTTATGTTTCTTTAAAATACTAACTAGGCCAAGTGTGGCGGCTCATGCCTGTAATCTCAGCACTTTGTGAGGCCGAGGTGGGCGGATCACCTGAGGTCAGGAGTTCGAGACCAGCCTGGCCAACATGGTGAAACCCTGTTTCTACTAAAAATACAAAATTTAGTGGGACATGGTAGCGCACGCCTGTAGTCCCAGCTACTCAGGAGGCTAAGGCATGAGAATCGCTGGAACCTGGGAGGCAGAGGTTGCAGTGAGCCAAGACTGGGCCGCTGTACTCCAGCCTGGGTTCTGGGCAAGAGTAAGACTCTGTCTCAAAAAAAAAAAAAAAAAAAAAAAAGTCCGGGTGTGGTTGGCTCACGCCTGTAATCCCAGCACTTTGAGAGGCCAAGGTGGGCAGATCACGAGGTCAGGATATCAAGACCATCCTGGCTAACACGGTGAAATCCCATCTCTACTAAAAATACAAAAAAATTAGCCAGGCATGGTGGTGGGCATCTGTAGTCCCAGCTACTCGGGAGGCTAAGGCAGGAGAATGGCATGAATCCGTGAGGCAGAGCTTGCAGTGAGCCGAGATTATGCCACTGCACTCCAGCCTAGGTGACAGAGCAAGACTCTGTCTCAGAAAAAAAAAAAAAAAAAATAGAAAAGAAAAAAGAAATACTGAATTGCAGTAACTTTTATAGGCACAAACTTCCTTAAGTTTCAAGCAAATGAAATTCAACCCTCATTATTCATGAGGACTTCAAGTAGGCCATTTTACCAACAAGCTTGAGCACCCTACAAATGGCTCTTACTTACTACCGAGTTCTTAGGATAAACGTGCTTATGCTTTGACTGAACAGTCACATGGATATCATAAAGGTGGCGATTGTGTATCACTATCCGGTGAAATTGCTTGCCTTCTTTCATGATTTCCTCAGTCTTTTTTTCAGTAGACATAAGATTTTCCAAAAAGTCTGAATCTTCTAAATATAGCTCATCACCTGAAAAAGGATAAAATTTGATTTTATTTTTAAATACAATATTATTTTTCACCATGGCAGAAGGGATAAAAATTTAATTCCATCGAGTATTATTTTATAAATCACTCCGATATATTAGGGACATACAAATCAGTATTTATTTTCATCTATTTAATATGTCTGGAACTGAGATAGTTGTTAAATCATTATTTATTTTGATCTGTTTAATATGTTTGAACTGAGATAATTGTTAACTAATCTAATTCTATGAGCTTACCTCAATTTCTTTATTGTGTTTTTTTGGTCTTTTTTTGTTTTTTTTTTTTTGAGATGGAGTCTCACTCTGTTGCCCAGGCTAGCGTGCAGTGGCGCGATCTCGGCTCCACCTCCTGGGCTCAAGCTATTTTCATGCCTCGGCCTCCCAAGTAGCTGGGATTCCAGGTGCCTGCCACCATGCCTGGCTAATCCTTTGTATTGTTAGTAGAGACAGGTTTCGCCGTATTTACCAGGCTGGTCTCAAATTCCTGATCTCAAATTATTCACCCACCTCAGCCTCCCAACGTGCTGGGATTACAGGCCTGAACTACTGCACCTGTCCTCTTTCTTGTGTTTTTAATATCCCCTCACAACGCCCCAGTCAAGAGTTTTCTTTGGGCTCATAAACATCTATGACTGGTATGTTTCCACTGTGAACTGTAATTGTTTTACTAGTTTATGACTCTCTTTATTCTATTCAATACTAAGATTGGCCTTGATATCCATATACGTTTGGTGTTTCAAAGTGGGCTGTTCTTAACATCTTTGGGTTAATTTAGAAAAATTACATCAAAACTGCTAAACTGGTCAGATGCGGTGGCTCACGCCTGTAATCCTAGCACTTTGGGAGGCCGAGGCAGGTGGATCATGAGGTCAGGAGATCAAGACCATCCTGGCTAACACAGTGAAACCCTGTCTCTACTAAAAAATACAAAAAATTAGCTGGGCGTGGCGGCGGGCACCTGTAGTCCCATTTACTCGGGAGGCGGAGGCAGGAGAATGGTGTGAACCTGGGAGGCGGAGCTTGCAGTGAGCCGAGATCACGCCACTGCACTCCAGCCTGGGCGACTGCACTCCAGTCTGGGCAACAGAGTGAGACTCTGTCTCAAACAAACAAACAAACAAAAAAACTGCTAAATTTCCCCCCTGTAGGTTGAGTAACAAATCTTTTTTTTTGAGACACAGTTTCGCTCTTGTTGCCCAGGCTGGAGTGCAATGGCGCAATCTCACCTCACTGCCACCTCCGCCTCCCGGGTTCAAGCGATTCTCCTGCCTCAGCCTCCCAAGTAGCTGGGATTACAGGCATGTGCCACCACGTCCAGCTAATTTTGTATTATTAGTAGAAACGGGGTTTCTCTGTGTTGGTCAGGCTGGTCTCGAACTCCCGACCTCAGGTGATCCACCTGCTTTGGCCTCCTAAAGTGCTGAGATTACAGGCATGAGCCACCACACCTAGCCATTTTTTTTTTCTTTTTTGACAGAGAGTCTTGCTCTGTTGCCCAGGTTGGAGTGCAGTGGCACAATCTTGGCTCACTGCAACCTCCATCTCATGGGTTTAAGCAATTCTCCTGCCTCAGCCTCCTGAGGAGCTGGGATTACAGGCGTGTGCAACCACACCTGGCTGATTTGGTTTTTTTTGTATATTTTCAGTTGAGATAGAGTTAACATTTTTATTTTATTCATAATTTCATAATTCAAAGTTTCAATTGAAATTACATTCAATTGAAAAAAAACAAACTTGGCTGGGTGCAGTGCTCAAGCCTATAATCCCAGAATTTAGGGAGGTTGAAGCAGGTGGATCACCTGAGGTAAGGAGTTCAAGACCAGCCTGGCCAACATGGTGAAACCCTGTCTCTATTAATAATACAAAAAAATTGGCCAGGCATGGTGGCACACGCCTGTAATTCCAGCTACTCAGGAGGCTGAGGCAGGAGTATTGCTTGAAACCAGGAAGCAAAGGTTGCAGTGAGCCCAGATTGCACTCCAGCCTGGGTGACAAGAGCAAAACTGTCTCGAAAAAAACAAAAAACAAACAAAAAAAAAAGCTCCCTAATTCAAATTAGATGACAACTTAAGAGTTCTTGTAATTCAAACTTAAAATGCAAAAACCTGAGAAATCGGCCAGGCGCGGTGGCTCATGACTATAATCCCAGCACTTTGGGAGGCCAAGGTGGGTGGATCACAAGGTCAGGAGTTCAAGACCAGCCTGGCCAAGATGGTGAAACCCCATCTCTACTAAAAAAAAAAAAATACAAAAATTAGCTGGGCTTGGTGGCGGGCACCTGTAATCCCAGCTACTCGGGAGGCTGAGGCAGAGAATCGCTTGAACCTGGGAGGCAGAGGTTGCAGTGAGTCAAGATCGTGCCACTGCACTCCAGTCTGGGTGACAGAGGGAGACTCTGTTTCAAAAAAAAGAAAAAGTGAGAAATGACATGAGAAAGACCTTTGTCAATGTCTAGGAAATATATTAATATAAATGTATGTGTATGTATATGATATTACGCAGAATTTCTGGTTATAATAATATGGATATTTTATAGGCTTTGATCTTACTTAGCTAATACCTGTAGACTACAAAACACAGACTGTAATTCCTGTCTCTATGTTGGGCAATACTGCCATGCAGCCCAGGGCACTGAATGTGAATACTAACCAAAGCACTGATGCTTCACTGGCTTACCTGGTAAAAGATGGACCATCCCATCAGCAGTTAACAAGATGATAGGCAGCCACCTTTCCAGTCCTTCTAATGCACGACCCAAACAAAATTTGTGCAAGTCAGAGAAAGAGGCAAAGTTTGCAAGTCTTCTCACTTCGTAGAACTGTGGGGGTGCCAACCAAATTTCTTTTGATGAGAAACTTTCAGTTGTCTCCGATGGAGATGACCACTGTGAAAGACAAAAGCAGGGCTTCCTAAGGTTTACGCCATAGATAATGTGAGACTTGAGATAGTCACATCTGTACCTAAGGTAGAATTGAATGTGTAAGATGAATTCATTAATGCACGCTGTGAGATCCCTCCGAGACAACATGAAAAGATTCAGTGAAGAAAGCTGGGTTGATCCTCTTAAGAGGTTGCTTACTGGGACACTGATCCTCAGAACTAGTAAATAAACCAGGGCAGACCGCCGAGGCTTGACCTGGGAGAGCTGTTCAGCCTAAGAGGTGGGAGATGCAGAGAGGGTCAGGTGGTTCTGGTCCCTGCTGAAAGAAGAAAGACTCCAAAGGGTAAACTCATCACAGTAGATTGAGAATTTGGTGCCTGTTCATTCCTCCAGGAAATGGGTACTTGGCTAGATCCTGAGGATATAATGATGAACACCACAAAGCTCTCCTAGGCCGTATGGGGACTGGAGCAACCAAAATGCTTTGTGATGTGGTGATGTGTGCCACATGGTACAACAGTGGTGAAGCTTCAGGAGCAACAGCAGCTTTCAGGAAGTCACCCGGCATGACTCAGCCTACAGTCGAGAGAGTAGTAACTTGGTAGGGTTTCAGCCAGGCAGCGTTTGCCCAGTAAACTTCAGTGGCTTCATTCTACAACCTGCTGTCCTTCCGGAGCCTTCTTTCCATAGACATTGAGATAAAAGGAGCTGATTCAATGGATACGGAATAACCTCAAAGGTTTTTTTTTTTTTTTGAGACGGAGTCTCACTCTGTCACCCAGGCTACAGTGCAGTGGTGCGATGATCTCGGCTCACTGCAAGCTCCACCTCCTCGGTTCATGCCATTCTCCTGCCTCAGCCTCCCGAGTAGCTGGGACTACAGGCACCCGCCACCACGCCCGGCTAATTTTTTGTATTTTCAGTAGAGACAGGGTTTCACCGTGTTAGCCAGGATGGTCTTGATCTCCTGACCTCATGATCCACCCACCTCGGCCTTCCAAAGTGCTAGGATTACAGGTCTGATGTTTTTTTTTTGACCGAGTCTCGCTCTGTCGCCCAGGCTGGAGTGCAGTAGCGCAATCTCGGCTCACTGCAACCTCTACTTCCCGGGTTCAAGCAATTCTCTGCCTGAGCCTCCCGAGTAGCTGAGACTACAGGCACCCGCCACCATCCTGGCTCATGTTTGTATCTTTAGTAGAGATGGCATTTCACCATCTTGTCCAGGCTGGTCTTAAAATCCTGACTTTGTGATCCACTCACCTCAGCCTCCCAAAGTGCTGGGATTACAGGTGCGAGCCACCGTGCCCGGCCATACGGTTGTTCTTTAGTTGGTTTACTAAATATCCACTTATACACCTAGGATAAACTGATTCTTACCCCCAAAGGATTTGGAATTGCTTTCTGCTTCAGATGGCTGTAGGTCAAAGGTTTGCAAGCTCGTACATGCTTAAACGTTGACGGCGAAGCCTGTGAAGCCTTCACATTCCCAGGGCCCTGCTATGGCGTCCAGCAATCTATGAGTTCAGTGAGTCCGCTAATCATTCTGCAGTTGGCCAAAACGGCATTTAAAAAACAGAGCTCTGGGCCTCAAAGGACCACCCAATCTCTCTATGTGATTTCCAAGGCAACCGTATGAGTTCAGTGATAACAATGAAGACAAAGGGTTAAATGGCAGGCATCCACCCACTTGATCCAACCTGTTCAGGTGAGTCCAGACCACAGGTTACAATACCTTATCACGTAACTGATTACTTCTTACTAGTAAAGCAGTGTACAAAATGCAATGCTTTCCTGCTGAGTGCAGTGGCGCACGCCTGTAATCCCAGCCACCTGGGAGGCTACAACGGGAGGTGAGTCCTACCATGGCCAGGGTTACTGCTTAAAGGGAATTCCCGGGCTGTGACCCAGGGAACAAGAGACTAATCAGAGCCTGGGATTTTCACTGACTTGAGACACAGCTTGGATTTTGGGAAGTCCACACAGCAGAATTTGGGAAGCAGCATACAGTAGTCTCCGCTTATGCAAGAGGGATACTTTCCCAGATCCCTAGGGGATGCATGAAATTAAGGAAGTGCTAAGCCTTATACAAACTATGCTCTTCCTACACATACACACCTATGATAAAGTTTAATTGATGAATTAGGCCCAGTAAGACATTAACAATAACTTATTATTATTATTTTGAGATGGAGTCTCGCTTTTGTTACCCAGGCTGGAGCGCAATGGCACGATCTCTGCTCACGGCAAACTCCGCCTCCCGGGTTCAAGCGATTCTCCTGTCTCAGCCTCCCGAGTAGCTGGGATGACAGGCATGTGCTACCACGCTCAGCTAATTTTGTATTTTTAGTAGAGATGGGGTTTCTTCCTGTTGGTCAGGCTGGTCTCGAACTCCCGACCTCAGGTGATCTGCCCGTCTTGGTCCCCCAAGGGGTTGGGAATACAGGTATGATCCACCGTGCTCAGCCAACAATAACTTATAATAAACTAGAACAATGATAGCAATTCCTGTAATAAAAGTTAGTGAATGTGGTCTTTCTCTGTCTCCAAATATCTTAATATTTTCAGACCTTGGTTGATTGAGGGTAACTCAAACCATGGAAAGAGAAACCAAGGGTAAAGCTGTACCTGAGAGGAAAGACCTCCAGAGTAGAGCTCTAGAAATCTGTGTAGGGTGCACTTGAATCTTCACTCAACACTTATCCATGTATGCATAAGGTGAAACCACGTGAGACCAGGAAAGAATGATGCCTCTTTTTTTTTTTCCTATGATTAGTATTTTACTTTACTGACCACTGTATACACAAGGAGAGAATGGTTTCTGAAGAAAGAACAATTACCTGAGAGCTTTAAGATTAAACTCCCAGAGCTCACCTGGGGCCAAGGATTATTGGAATTCCTTCCAATCACAGTGGAGCGATCATGTTGAACATAAGCAGCACTCAAGTAGACCTTATAAGGGTCACACATTTAGAAGTGCAGCTAATGGCCAGGTGCAGTGACTCACGCCTGTAATCCCAGCACTTTGGGAGGCAGAGGTGGGCGGATCACCTGAGGTCCGGAGTTCAAGACCAGCCTGGCCAACATGGTGAAACCCCGACTCTACTAAAAATATAAAAATTAGCCAGGCATGGTGGCACGTGCCTGCAATCCCAATTACTTGGGAGGTTGAGGCACAAGAATCACTTGAACCAGGGAGGTGGAGGTTGCAGTGAGCCAAGATCACGCCACTGCACTCCAGCCTGGGTGGCAGAGTGAGAATATGTCTCAAAAAAAAAAAACAGTGCAGCTAAATTAGCTCTAGAATAAAAGCTACTATAGTCCCATGCTAACATCATTTAAAATCAGTTAAAATTAAACCTCAAGACAATTAAGGTAATTTGCAATCACTTAACTGCTTGCTAAGAAATGTCCAATACTCGAGGCCGGGTGCGGTGGCTCAAGCCTGTAATCCCAGCACTTTGGGAGGCCGAGACGGGCGGATCACGAGGTCAGGAGATCGAGACCATCCTGGCTGACACGGTGAAACCCCGTCTCTACTAAAAAATACAAAAAAAAAACTAGCCGGGCGAGGTAGCGGGCGCCTGTAATCCCAGCTACTCGGGAGGCTGAGGCAGGAGAATGGTGTGAACCCGGGAGGTGGAGCTTGCAGTGAGCTGAGATCCGGCCACTGCACTCCAGCCTGGGCGGCAGAGCGAGACTCCGTCTCAAAAAAAAAAAAAAAAAAAAAAAGAAATGTCCAATACTCTCTCTCTTTTTTTTTCCTAGACCAGCCAAGGTCCAATATATATATATATTTTTTGACGAAGTCTTGCTCTTGTCCCCCAGGCTGGAGTGCAATGGCACGATCTCAGCTCACTGCAACCTCTGCCTCCCAGGTTCAAGCAATTCTTCTGCCTTGGCCCCCCAAGTAGCTGGGATTACAGGCACCTGCCACCACACCCAGCTAATTTTTGTATTTTTACTTGAGACGGGGTTTCACTATGTTGGCCAGGCTGGTCTAGAACTCCTGACCTCAGGTGATCCACCCGCCTCGGCCTCCCAAAGTGCTGGGATTACAGGCGTGAACCACCATGCCTGGCCCAAAGTCCAGTGCTCTTTAAAGGAATACGACAAGATCCAGCACTCAACAACATAAAGTCACAATATCCAACATTCAATAAAAACTGCAAGACATGATGAAGCGAGAAAACATTATCCAAAACTAGAAAAAAAATAAGTCAACAAAAACAGATCCAGAAATTATAGCAATGATTAAGTTAGCAGAAAAGGGCAATAAAAACAATGCTGTAAGTATGTTCCACTGGTTTAAAAATACAAAGGAAAACATCAACATGATGAAAGAAATAAAAAATATTACCTGCAAGAGACTAGGCATGGTGGCTCACGCCTGTAATTCCAGTACTTTGGGAGGCTGAGGCAGGCGGATCATGAGATCAGGAGTTCGAGACCAGCCTGATCAACATTGTGAAACCCCATCTCTACTAAAAATACAAAAATTAGCTGGGCGTGGTGGCACATGCCTGTAATCCCAGCTATTCAGGAGGCTGAGGCAGAAGAATTGCTTGAATCTGGGAGGCGGAGGTTGCAGTGAGCCAAGATCGCACCATTGCACTCCAGCCTGGGCAGCAGAGCAAAACTGTCTCAAAAAAAAAAAACAATTACCTGCAAGAGTGGTAACAGACCTCTCATAAGAAATTTATGCAAACTAGCAAACAAGGGAGCAATATTTTTAGGTACATAAAGAAAAAAACCTATCAACCTAGAATTTTATACCTAGCCAAAGTATCTTTCAAAAACAAAGGCAAAATAGTTATTTTCAAGCAAGCAAAAGTTAGAGGACTCATTATCATAGGATCTATGCTACAAGAAATATTAGAGAAACTTCTTTAGGCAGAAGGATACCAGAGATAGATTTAGAGCTACACAAAGGAATAAAGAGTGCTAAAAATAGTAAATATGTGGCTGGGCATGGTGGCTCACGCCTGTGATCTCAGCACTTTGGG